TTTGGAGGTAAGGAAGCTTCTCCTGCAGTAGATATTTAGCTAGGCTTGAAATCAAGTTGGTAATTGGCTGGGTGTAGTTCACCTTCCTTGCGATGCACACATGGTGCAGTTCGGTGCGCAGTTTAATAACATGCAGGAACAGTGCAACCTCGCTCCCCAATACGCGTGTTCGGCAGTGCGCAGTTACCGACTTGAGCAATCTGCAAGCCCTTTTGTGCACAACATGTGGGACTTGCTACCAAAATTGGATGGAGCACTCTGATTGGCTAAGATTCCCAATTAGGCCCATATGAATATTTATTTTAGGGGCAGTTTGATTGGTCAGTCAAACATTTATTAACAACAACCACAGTCTCATTATTGAAGACTGAAGAGGGTACATGTATTAACATTATTCTATAAAAAGATGATTTACCATAAAAGCATCAGTTCTTTTACCAAAAAAGATAGTTAATAGATTTGTTCTTGAAAAGTTACAGTATGTGTACATGTACTTTGTCTTTAAGTATCATATTAAAAGGGATATTAATGCAAGATACGAAAGAAACTGGCACTAATCAAATATAGACATCCCTATATATAAAATGGAAGAGTCTGTTATGTAGTGTGAGCTGCTATTGGTGCTCTTTGTGGAAATGTATAAATGTGCAATGTATCTGTTGCATGCATGAATATCCAGCTAGAGTCAGGCTGATCAAGTCATTAGGCGGGCACTGAAACCCAGTACTGAGCAGCCCACAACCATGCGTCATATCCGGGCCGTATCAGCACAGCATGCTGGATCATGGGCAGTGGTGAAGAGGCTCAGTACTGAGTGTAAAACGACACAGTATGCTGGCTCATATCAGTTGTTCTGGACAACAAACACAGCTGGCTAACGACTTGATTTCAAATCTCAAAATATGGAGGACCTCCGCACCATACAACCCCATGGCCTGAACATCCAAGAGGGAAACTTCTAATTAACACTCCTCTCTTTCCCTGTCTTTTGTCTGCAGATTATACCCCCTCCCACTTGGGGTCCAGTTCCATCCATTGTAGTTTTTCTTTGATCTCTTCCCACCTTACATTCCTTTGTTGTTCAACCATGCCTTTCATGCAGTCCCCCATATCCTTAGCCCCTTTATCCAGCCTGCAGCTTTCTTGACCTTTCCTTTTGTCCTCTTGTATTCATCCATGCTTGGTTGATTCCTTGTTTGCTTGTTTGTCCTGTCCACTTGTCATTTTGCCTTTGAGAAAGAATCTGCTAGGATCGGAACGTCAGGCCCTCCATATTTTGAGATTGATATTTTAGGTCATTTTAGTCAGCAAGCAGTTTGCAGCAGTTTTGTATTGCATATCTTTGGACTTGATTTCAAGTCTAACATTCTAACATTTCATTCTCTTTGCATTATATCCTGTACAGATGTTTTATATCAATTATTTCTGAATCTGTGTCAAACACTGCTAAGCCCAATTATCAGAATGAATGTGTATGGGCCTATTTTATTTCAAATCACACAAGATTTATCTTTTAATATTTCAGTGTGCCATTACTGACCACACGTGTTCTTCAGCAGCATTAGTATCACATATACAGTGACTTGATACAATTTTGTATACTTAATGCACATATGAAATACGAAACCTGCTACCTGGTACAAACTCCATGCTTACTACAGTGACCTAAACTGATGAATCTGGATGAAAATTATAGAGCCTGACATTTGTGATTCTAGCAGAGTCTTTCTGACTTTTGCATCGGTCTTACATATATGTTAATACTGTCAGATAATAATGCTCCGAGCGTTCAATTTCAGGAATACACATTCATCAACCTTTCTGTGTAACCGAGCTGCATATATTTGTGTGCATTGAGAGGATAGGAAGTGTGAAATTGCCGGAACTACTCTGTAAATATTGAATGAACACCCTGATAGGTCGGAGAATTTGGGACGTTGGAGCTACCCAGAGAGCCAAACTCACACCTTAACCATGTGCATTGACAGTATCAGGGAAGAATGTCATTTCTCCTCTGCATAATTCATCAGATCTAGCTTTTATTATTCATAGATGCGAACAAGTACATGGAAATTTATGCTAAACTGGCTCTGGTTGGCATGCAACAGGCTACAGTCCTCATGACAGCCCATACTGGGATATTTTTCCAACGTCAGTTTGTGCCTTATCAATAGCTGTTGTATGCACTTTGTATTTGCAAGATTTTAATAGTCATATATCATTTGATTATATAGTAATTGACTGAATTTACTTTTGAACTGATGGAAAATCATAGACGATGGAACATGAAGTGACGGGGAAATGGGGGGGGCATTCTTTTCAAAGCGTGAATTTCAGTTCTTAACCTTTTAATGTCTTAAAGTTAATGATTTAATTTTTTCCCACATTTCTTCCTGTTTCGGAGGTTAACAGAATAATTTTGAAATACTTTGCCATATTCTTTTAAAGAAGCATGAAAAAAGTTTTCCAACTCACCTTTTGTGTTGTAGGATAGCTAATTACATGTACATGTAGATGTCATATTCCTCAACCTGAACCTCCCTTCTTCTTGAAATCTGTGCTCAGGTTTCAAAAGATATTCTAGTCCAGTCGGGTTCTATTTTATGTACAGTAGTATATTATGTGTGGCTGGATGACTTGTGGAAGTTGTGCATTTCCTGACTTCAGGAAAGTGAAAATCCCGGTGTTAGGGCTAATGAACTTAACTTTGCACGTGTTCACTGTATCATGCCTGTGCTTATCTGATGCTCTTTTAGCTTTGGCTTTGATTTCTGTTGTTATGTACATTTATTTGTTTGATTTCTTGTGATTTGGGGGGCTATTGAAGCCATGAAACTATTTCCCTAAGTGCGTTTAATCTTGTGAAGTGTTACTTTCAAGAAATCTTTTGGTTGCTTGATAGAATCTGCCAAGGACAGACATCCTAAAGGGTTTCATTGGAGTTCCATCAATTCAGAATCAGTAGGAGGTGTAGGGATATGTCGATTGGTTATCATACCTGCCACAGCTTGCCTGCAAAGCATGTGACAGCAAGCATGCTTCCATTTGATGGCTCACTTACAAAGTTCCAGACACACCAGTGATATGTAGGTGTTGAGTGAGGCAAGTCTCTCATCAGACACAAAAATTGTATTTAATCCGATGACATTCTATCTGTTGTGACAGCTCACAGTTAGCAAGGGATTTGGTTGAAATTTGGTTTTAAGGCTGGATAATGCTTGTACATCAAATGAGAATTTTGACTTGACAGACTAGTTGCCCATTTGAGTTTTTTAATTCTTACTAAACGCTATTGTAAAACATGATAAACAAAATTCCAACAGTTTTAATTTCATTAATTAAAATGTAATAGACATCACCCATGATGGAATTTGTTGAGATTCAGAAGGTAAGCTTTAATTCTGGCATTCCATGCATTTGCAAAAAAAATAACAACAAAAAGAAATCAAGTGTTTTGAAACTCAAAATGAGGGTACATAAAAGTTTTACAATGTAGCCTTCCACAGCAGAGTAAGGCTGGAATGATATATGAACATTTATCTTGCTCTTAGAGGAAGCTATGATAAATTATTCAAGTCTTGTGATTAGCTGTGCATGTACATACATGTGTGTTCCCCGCACCTGTATGTTTTGAATCATAATTAGCTGTTTTGGGCACCGGCTGAAACGGCACTTGTTATTTTTGTTTTTTGCAGGTGCTCGTTCATTTTTAATATTCTAAAATCGGGGTTTTATAAACGTAGACCAATTACAGTCACTGTGAAATATTCACTTGCAAAATGTTATTTTACTGCTTCTGCTTACTTCACGGGCACCTGTACATTTAGAAGTGCACAGTTTTTATTTGAACAAAAAAGTGCATTCCTCACATCTTATCTTGTATAGGTTTCCCTTGCCTCTATGCTGTGTGAAGAATCCACTCAGAGGAGCTGTGTTGCAGGCTGATTGTTGTCCAAGAACTGACATGCATGTGGCCTGTGGTTCATTAATTTTATGCTGCATGGCAACAGTTGAGAGGAACGTGACAGTTTCACTTCCATCTGCTAATTGCCCAGGCCTTGGTTATTGTCAGACCAGTTTGCTTTTGCCCATGCAGGGCTTTTATTATTTCCCTTAGATTTTATAAATGCACCTGAAGGAATGTTTTCACTCTTTGACTAATCATATTGGGTTTACATTAGCAGCAGATGTAATTATCACTTACTCTTGACAACATTATCTTCAACTCTTGTTCATTATTCCTTTGCTATCAATGGTTACTGTTCAAATTGTAATGTCAGTTGGACTTGAAATAACATCCACTAAGAAACTTCCAGTTTGTTGAAGCATTACTGAGGATCTTTGTCTGACATTTTGACATGATGTTGGACATTTTTCACCAGTGATGGTTTACCCTGTTTCTTCTCGCTCATCTTTCTTCAAGGACTTACATATAGGGGGATCTTAGGTTGACTCTAAATCCAATCCAGTTTGAATCTAAAATGTACCTTTAATTGTAATTTTTTTATGTAGCTCTTTTTAAATTCTGTTGTAAAACTACTCTGCAATTCAGCCCTTGGGCTGCTATTGGCAGTTTAAATTAAACTAACTAGCAATAATACTAACGATACCTCTATTACACTCCATGAATGATTGCACGTATACAAATGGTGATAACTCAATGAAGCTGCAGCCTACAGAGTGAAATTTGATTTCCTTCAAGCCTACTGACCTTTAGTTTATTAATCTCATTTTAGTTGGTTTTAAGTTGAACCCTTTGGTTTATCTGCTAATTTTACTGTAATTTTCGACTTCAGCGGGTTTGGTTTCCTTTACTGGTACCTCATTGCATGCAGTTTTAGCAAGCTGTTGCAGAGGTGAAACTTCCATTTTAATTGGGATCTTGACTGTTGCTGTGTAGCAGGCATGAAATTGAGACAGGATAAATTTCTAGGCACGTTCTGCTGGAGTAGAGAACACACACTCATCAGTCTTACCTGCTTGGCTTCCTCGGTTGACAGGTAATAGAACAAAGGAGGCGTGACTCCACTGATGGATCTACCCCACAAAGGAGGGTGTATTGCCTTACATCATCGCCTTTCTGTCAGCAACTGCACCTCATGGGAAGAATGCTTCACCTAAGTGGACCAATGAGTTTGCTTGGTTGCTGAGTCAAGAGAATGGCCGGGAAAGTGACCAGGGTCCCATCCTCACATGCTCTCCGAATTGGCGAGGTAAGACATCAGACCATATTGGGATAATGAGAGATGTAGAATTGTCCAGATTATCTCTGAATCTTTGGTAATATTTGAATGTGCATTGCCAAAGACAGCTGTCTATTGTGTGAATAGTGTGATTCGAATTTTCTTTGGCAAGTTTCATTTAACATTTCTTCTGACTTCTTTAGATTTTTGTTATTCCCTGCAATTTAGAAGTACCCAGCAATTATCAAAGCTGTGCAGAAAAATGTTGACGTAGTGAGCAGTGTTAATAATCATATAATACAAGTGTTGTTTCATGCTATATGCCAATGGATATCTGCATGTAAACTTTGTTAATCGTGTGAAATTTCACCCACAATGATATTGTATGATAGCCAAGAATTTTGGCCCCATTGATAAGTTGATATGATACCAAAGTTTAAACAACCAATACTTGATGTTGGGAAAAAAAACAACGAAACATACTGGCACCATAAAGGGCAGATCCAGAACCCAATTTATATTTTTTTTTGGGGGGGGCAAAATTGAGGAAATTATTTGTCAAAATCTTTATTGCCTTCCTGAGGGGTGAGGCTGCATTTCAGGGCTTTTTACATGCCATTGAAGGGGAAAAAAGATAAAGACCTGGAAAAAAAATCCCCTTTCATCGTCTGAGAAAATTAGCTTTATTTTTATTTCATTTTATACTTTTTTTGCGAGGGGGAGGGAGGGTCATGGCCCCTGTTGACCCCCCCATCATGTCCTTGGCACCATACTTGTTAGGACCACACAGGGGTTGAATGATAGATGATGTTGGAAAAAATTCATTATGAGGACACACATGTATTTTTGTCCTACAACTCAGTCCCAAATTTCCCAACAAAAAGAAATCTATTCCCTGAACGCAGCATAGGCCAGGTAGAAAATTGAACATCGAGTGCTACACACATGTACATGCAGACTGGAGTTTTGCTTGTGGCAGTGAGGAGATTTATCATCTATTTAGAAATCCCAGGAGACATCTGTGATATCTTTTGACTTTGTCACTCCCTGGATTACAATCCTTGTTTTGCTAATCTCTGGCACCACTTCTTCATTCCCTCATGGGATGCGATGCCCAGACAGTGTGTAGTATCTTGCCTGGCAAGGATTCTGCAGGTGTTAGGGAAGGCTCAGAAGCTTGTCTTCTCAGACTACAGCACTGTCTTTGCATAATAGTACCTTGCCGTCAGCAGAACTGCCCCTGCATGTAATGGAATACCGCCTGAAATATGTGGGTTGTTCCAGCACCACTCACTGCAAAGATAGTTCAGCTCTTCAAACAGAACTTGTATTCTGCACTTGAAATTTGAATTTCCTTGTACATTTTTAGATTACTTTTTAATTCCAAAAGTATTTGCTCTTGAAGTTTTATGGATCATGAATTGACAGTCACATATTTACTCTCCTGCAGATTCACCCCTTGGTCACAATTTTGCTCCATCTATTTCATTTCAGCAAGACGATTATTCTACATGCAGTTCATGCCAAATGCATTGACTTTATATTCTGAGGGGTTGCATGTGTGTGAGCTCACCATACTTTCCTGTATACAACATGTAAAAGAACAGAGAGATGGTTGCTCAGTAGGGGGTCAGGGAATTCTGTACTGAACAGGTAGTTTATTAAGTTAAGAAGTCCGGTGCACATATTGCCAGAATATTCTTATTATGTTTTTGCCAGAAAATGGTTCTCACAAGGGACAGCTGTTTCTTTCATTTATAATGGACATTGACATGGAGTACAAAATGGTTGCCTAAACGGTGGACTACTTTGGAATCTCTTTGATTACAAGTCCACCATCAACGCCTGCCTTTGTCATAGACATTGAGAGGGCTAACCACCCTATTAAGTGCACAGACACTGCTTCATTTGTAATCCTTTAAACGCTGAAGAACATGTAATGCAATTGGAGCAAATTGCTGTCAGCATTTTTACTTCCTCAGCTGCCTGTACAAGAGCCAGGCAACCACAGAAGTGTACAGAGTGTCAGACTGAAGCATCTTAATTAGTGTGTTATTTTGTAAGAGGTACATGTAGCATGTTGATTGATGCCATGTGTACAATTTCTGTTTGTCTGAGGAGAGATTGCTGTCTGTCCATCACTTCAGATTTGGAACTAAAGGCTGTGAGATGTAGTTAATGCTCTCTTTTATTATTTAAATATCTTTACTGTTTGGTAGTAAAAGAAAGAAAAAAATTATAAATGTACGTGTACACGTACTTGTGAAAAAAAATCCAAGTTTGAATTGTTTTTAAGCCTTGAATGTATATTTTTTTTCTCTTTGAATTAAAAAAATTATGTTCCTAATCATACAGTCAAGTGAATTCCCGGTATAGTGCACCTGCAATATTTGCCAGTTTCTCTCTGCTACCCAGGCCTTAAATCAATAGTTTCATCTGTCACATTCATTTGTACAAATGAGGCCATGATCATTTGGGCTGCCTGCATTGATCGCTGTGATCGACTGTGACTGAAGAGCATGTGCCAATTGGTGTTAGTAGGTCAGGTGTTGTTACGGTTATTGCTGTGTTTGATCAAAGCTTTCATTACTGAACATTTCCCTTTGGATGGTGTAGGAAAAAAATATGGGATGGGCAGGTGTGATAGAGTTGGGGCTTGGTGTTTGCACCTGTCTAGCTGCATACTGCATGCTAGTCTTGTATTTTTCAAGTACCGGGTACGAATACAGAAATAAGAATGTAAGGGCCTCTTGGGGATTGCATGCATTTTGGAATGCAAATTTTGTTGAATTAAAATTTGGATAATATGAAGGGTCCAAGTCTCTTTCACTACTAGTATACATGTAAGATTGGGGGATTGAAGTGATTCACCAAGATTCACTCCCCAGATCAGACCAGCTATGTTCATTCTCATTTCAAAACATGTAAAATACAAGTAATATGTTCCTACGGTTATTTCTAAGGATGGATTTGTGTCAGGGAGATGTTAATTAAATTTTGGGACTTTTGCCCTGCCTGATGTGTAGTGTATCACTGTATACTCAGTGTTTCCTCCCGAAAGCTTGTGAAAAACCCACAAGCGTACACAGGTGGGACTTGAACCCATGACTTCCTGCTTTCTAGTGCAGATGTCTCAACCTCTCGGCCACCTAGCTGGTTCAAGTCAGATGTAGCAGCGGGTACCATGAACAGCTATGTCTAAGGATGGATTTGCATCAGGGAGATGTTAATTTAAATTTTTGGTTAAGACATCTGCACTTGTAAGCAGGAAGTCGTGGGTTCGAGTCCCACCCAAGTACGCTTGTGGGTTTTTTACAACCTTTCAGGGGAAAACTGAGTATACAGTGTTAAAATACAACTAAATGTAATAATTAAGGCTCTTGATCCCTCAGCATCCTGTGACTAAACTGATTTCACTCACGCTGACCTTGGTTCTAACAGAATGTTAACATCAATTGATCAAATTGTCATTGTCATGGTGATCAAATTGTTCCAGTTTATTTATTTCTTGTTTACCCTGGGAAACCCTCAGTGGATCACTGTTTTCCAAAGGCGCCCAGCTAACACAAGCAATTAACGATAAAAGAATAAAAATATTAGATAATCAATTAATAACAACAAAACAGCAGGGATAACCATTGAAATAGCACTTAATTGACAACACACTAAAACAGATTAAAATACTTAATTGGTCGGTACATTGGCAGTAAAAGCAATATCGGCAGCCATCAAGGAGATACACCCCCATTAAAGGGGGAGTGCAAGTATATACGTACATGAACATATACACACTTGTGCACTTACACATAAATATACACATACGTGTACATATACCCATAGACACAAACATGCACATGCTCACATGTCCTTGTAGTCCATTTGTAGGCCTACCTTAAAAAATCAAGTTTTTGTACTGGAGCTTGAAACTTGCCAAAGTGAGAGGCAAGGGATGTTTAAGTGTGGCATCAAAGGGATAACCTTCGTTCCTTTCACTGTCACAAGTAATTACTCTGGCTGAGATGAGTGTTGATCATCAGGCTTACACCTGTTTAAAATGTGGATGTACATGTATATCATGCACATGTGGGTTTGTCCACACTAAAAGATACATCTGTGTGATACTCAATACAAATTCCAACTGTAAAATTTTGCCATTATTTTTTGCTTATAAACATGTATGTCTTTACTGTTTCTGATTGTTCCCACAGAAAGTTAAAGATAAATTGAGCAGTATTTAAGAAATTACAGAAGTTTATTCTTGAAGGTATAACATTTGTCACATGGACAGACACGTTGTTTCTTATGAAAATTAAATACAAACTGTGATTGATAATTACATGTATCCACAATGTATTATATACTCTTTTTAATTTACTGTTTCAAACTCTCATAATCTCAGAAAAACAATTCCAGTGTAGATAACTCTGAAATTTATTTTATGAATACAAGGTAACGTTTGTCACTGGATGGACACCACATTTGTCACATGGACAGACATTTTGTTGTTGTTTGAATTAGAGAATGAAAACAGAATTGGTCAGAAGCCAAACTTGTTTATTTTCAGTTTTCAAAATCAGTTTGGTTAAAAAGACTATTAAACTTCAGCTTAAATGAATACTGTGTAAATTTTTCTCAAAGAGTGACTTGTTTCACTTGGAAAGATGTAATGTTTGTCCATAATCTAGGGACAGACAGTCTTCTGACTTTCATTTCAACAAAACGAACCAACTTTTTCTAATGGATTGTTCGTTATTTTATTTAGTTAGGTTTTGTAATAATGTATATGTATTCATAAGATAAGACTTTTAAGATTTTTTCATTTACAGGGAAAAATACTCATGACAAACATTACAAAAAAGTAGATAGACATTTGTAATTCCTACAATCAAATCTTAGTTTTGTTTCTGATAGAAAAAAAACACCTGTAAAGTATTAATATCCAAACTTTTCTCAGGAAGATTGATATATTTTTGTTGAAGTTATCTACTCAAGCAATAGCAAAATACATGTAAAACTGTTTAATGTTTGCC